CAAATGAAATAGATGCCACTATTTTCTAATACAGTAAAAACTGTTTATTGTATGCATACCTAAAGCTTCAAAATATCTTTTAAACTTGTGGTATTTGGTACTGGAGGATACAAATTTAGATAATCTTAAATTTGTGGATAGATTAATCATTTAATTACTATAATATCCTTACTTAATTAGCTCCTAGCCTTGAAAAACATTTTTTTCCCAGTTATTAGTTTCAGATGCAACTGTGAAATGAATGATAAATATTTTTTTAAAAAACAGTATAAAAGACATGCATTCTGCATGAATTTTGCAGTTTTTACAAAAGACATACATTCAGTAAAAAAAGACAATTTTTGTATTATCATAAATTCTGCATGACAGAATGCAGTGCATCAGCAGCACCACTAACCCCTGCCACCATTTATAAAACTAAGTGACACAAGGTATACTCAATAGCTACTTTCGTTGACTGACTCAACATTACACAATTAAAAAACGATTGTGTACCCAGACATAAATATTTGTTGTTTAAATACCAATGTGTATGTATTTGTCACTTAAAATACTTTTAGTGGCATATTTTGAATACAAGTAATAGTGAATATAAATAAATCCTGACAAAGAAATAAATCCCTTAATTTATTTTTTCTATCTCCAAATATGAATATATATTAAATATGCATGTGAATAATAATATGACATATCTCCAAATGGAGGAAAAATGGCACATCTAAATTTAAAATCAGAAAAATTTTCCCACATAAAAACTAATCTATTCTAAATCAGGAAAGTATATATTCTAAAACAAAAAGGATTTAGAACAGACTAGTCACATGAAATATCATTGGGCTACCTTGTTCCCTTTAGTTAGCAGGCTATCCTATTTCCCAGGTAATGAAAATAAAAATAAGGACTTCCTGCTATTAAAATTATCACAATTGCTAGGAAGCAAGTAAACTCTTTTTCCTCTGGAAATTATAAATATAATATGGTTTTTGTGATACATCAGTAATAATTTTCTGATTTTATCTTTTATAAAGTTATAATGAAAATATACTTGACTCAATAAATCTGAGGCATGAGAACCCAACCCTAAGCACAAATAATATTTTATAATACCATACTTCAACTGTTGAATTGATATAAATTACATGTATATATCTATCATATGATCTAATGTTTGATACAATACTAGAAACTGTTTCTAACACAGTATTTTAAAATGTATATAAATCATCTTTCCTTGTCTCTTTGCTACACATAATAGAGTTAGTTCTTAAAACACAAGAAAAAAGTAGTATTAGATCCAATTGCACATTCTGAGTTTTAATTGGTGGGCACTTTTTCACACCCTTACTAATAGTTTGTTAATTCCTATACTAAATATTCACAGTCATGCAAACCAGGGTTTTCATTCCTTTAAGAAAAGTCATTGAAGTTCATCATTTTTTCCATTGAGAAAATGATATACAATCTATTTTGTGAATAAACTGTTTTGTTACTAACACTGGATTGGATTTTGTGGGAGATTTTTCTTTTACCCTCTTACTGAAAATATGTCTTCTCAACCATGAATAGTTTTCTCCCAGAAAATTTAAATACTACAAGAATGTTTCTATGGATCATTATAATACAGAGTTAAGACCTCTACTACACAGGGCAAACCAGGTAAAAAGCTTTTCTCTCTCAGGGAAGTCCTTACTGTGATCTCTCACTGATATCAAGCCTCTGACCTTCCTTCCCAGAGCTATGACCTTATTCTCGCTACTCCTTTTAACCTCACCTCCTGTAGCTACTGAACAGGAAGGGAAATAAGATGCTATCCATAAGTTTGAAAATCTTGATTTTCATATAATACAGCTGTATAAAAGTTGTTCAAGTACTTGCACAGGTCTTTTCTTAGTGTTATGTTCTTCATGTAGGAAAAGAGCAAAATTAATACCATTTTAGGCATACTAGAAGTTTCCATAAGCATCTTGAGGATTGGGTCTGTATTTTCTTCACACTCACACTCCCATATTAAGACAGTGCTTGGCTTTGAGAAGAACACAAATATCTGCTCAAGGAGTAAGTGAAAATCTGCTTTTCTTCCTTTCCTCTATTCTAATGCTTTCTTTCCTATTCGTTTTCTATTTTAGAGATCTTATTTGTAGTCATTAGAGAGTATCAAAATTCCTCTGAATAAATCTGTAATGGAAATTTACATTGTATTCAATACATGTAAATTTCTATTGTTTTGCTGCCATTGGTGGACAATCACTCTCCCTCCTCAAGCAGGTTCTGACTGAGGTTCTGGCTTATTTTCTTTTTTTATTTCTTTCTGCTTCCTAAATGGCTGCCAGAAGGTCCTATAAGCAGCAACCCTCTCTCCTTCAACATTTCTTTCCACCTTCCATTTGCATCCTTTGACATTAAAAATATATATATCATCTTCACTTCATGGCATCTTTTACTTTCTATGATTCAAACGCTACCTTGATCTTCTTCCCCAACCTTCTGCAGCCATATTTCTTCCTACATATACAGAAAACATTCAGAGGAAATCCTCACAAGTCTCTCATCAATCTCTGACATAGGTTCTATAATCAAATGACTAAGACAATGCTGAGAAGCACATTTAAATTTCCTTAGAAATCATAAGAAAGGGTGAAGATTATAACTTGTAACCTTCTCAAAGGCTTAGACAGATTTTAAAAAATTAGTTTTACTAAGCTTGAGGACTTTTAAATAACATGTTTTCACTCCAAAAATTATTGCCTAACAAACTAAAAGTTGCCAAAGAAGACCCACATTGCATCTCCATATCTCCATTACCAAAATCTTATGTAAATATGTTGGGTAATTGCTAAAGAAAACATTTAAAGTATAACTTTTTAAGAAAATAAAATATTGTAATTATAGTAAATGGTTTCCAATGCTGCCCAAAGAGCAAAAGAAAAATCAGATAGACAATATTTAATAGTTAAAAATTACTACTTCAGTAAATATTATTTTTATTTGGCTAAATATTTATTTATTTAATAAAATAAATAAAGCTCAGTAAAACTACATTTACAGTAATTTCTGGATTAAAATTTTCCATTCTATACTAAAATAAGAAATTTTAACAAATTTTCATTATTTCCTCAAACATACACTTCTATACTAACTATTGCCTAACTACTCCTTTCTACCTCTTTGCCTTTACTTTTACTATTCATTTTGCTAGATATTTCTACCATTTTAATCTGTAAAATCTCTCACCCTTTAGGGCTCCTCAGTGTGCTTTTATTAAAAGGAATCTTGGACTAGCAGTCAGGATTCCTGAATTATAGTACTAGTTCAGCACTTTATTTACTACAGAATCTTTAGTAGGGCATTTAATCTCCCTGGAGTCTGTTACATTATCTATAGACAAAACAAAATATTTAGCTAGGTGATTCTTTACATAATAGATAATAGATAAAACTGAATTCTGGGTTTTTAAAGAGTATTAATTTGGAAAACTGACTTTCATTTCAACCAAGATCATGGTAAAACTGGGTTGGTATACACCAATTACTTTTGTCTAGTGATGAGGCTGACAAATATGCAGTTTCTAGAACTCAAGCCAGGGGTTGAGGGAGCCAGGCAAAATAATATAAAGAACTTCCATAAAAGGGAACTTCTCATGCTTAATGGAATTGCCACTTTATTTAGTAATACGTCAGAAGACATAAACCTCCCTTTGGGGTAACTGGAGAAACCTAAGCAAGAGGCACAATCTTTTATTTTTGCCATTGCCTCCAAACAATAAGTTTCCATATCCTTTGACATTAAAAAAATATATCATCTTCACCTCACGGCATCTTTTACTTTCTATGATTCAAACACTACCTTGATCTTCTTCCTCAACCTTTTTGATTCTCCCACTAAGACATTCCCAATCCTCTGCCATCATAGAACGTACAGCAGTTTGAATCAGTATATCACTAGTTCCTTTTAAAAAGTACTTATAAATGGAATAATACCTATGTATCTGTGTACTTCCTTCCCCTATTCTACATTTGTACTTCAAGAGCTTATTATCTAGAATAAGAGATAATTACAAAACTTTGCCAAATAAATTAATTCTTCCACTATACCTTATACAAAGCACACAAAAATAATTACTTGTTAGATTAAAAGAAAGTAACTATTTTATTAAAAAAGTTAAGAATTCTAAATTGAATTGTTGATTACAATAACCATTACCTATCCAGATTCATTTGTGTTACCAGGATTCTGCTGCTAAATATAAGGCAAAATAAAAGTCAAGGCTGGTGTATCAGGTGTTCTATTAGTAAGAAATGTCTATTACCTGGCATCATACAGAGGATAATGATGACTGATGGTCATGTAATAATTCTCTGGCTCAGGAACATCCTCAACTAAGTTTAAGGGATGGTCAGGATATTTTTAGCAATGAATGTGTTTTGAGATATAACATTTTTGAAAAATAAATAAGGAAGATGGTTACTTCCTATTGTTAGGAATCTAGACCGTAACTCTGCCTGAAACTTCACTTTTACCTGTTATGTCTTCATGCATTAAATTTCCTAATACCCTCAATATTTTTTCAGTAATTACAATAAATTTGTAAAAGTTTCAAGAACAACAACAACAAAAGGAATATGTTACATCATATATCCTCAAAGTGTCATATGCTGCTCAAAAAAATTAAATGCATATTAGACTTCTGTTTTTCTTTTTTTTTTAGGCCATGTGAAAATACTACTCTCATAAAAACATGCAATGAAAGGAGAATAGACACTCAAATAAAATGAGCTACAATATGCAGAATGGAAAAGCTATTAAATGCACATTCGCTTATATAGGACACACAAGAGAAGCTTTAGAAAGCACATAAACATCTAAGAGACAAGAAAAAACTTACCTAAGAAAGAAAATTAGCCATGGCATTTCAAAATTATTAGTGATTAGAGTAAAAAAGAGCAGGAGGGGACATCAAAATAACAAATGACATGAGAGAAGATTAACGGCATGTCACTTACAGGAATTCTTCTCCAGGGTGTTTGGGTATATTTATCAGCATATGAGCATTTTTCCTCTTTAGATTTTTGGTGGCAGTTACACCGGGTTGCCTGAACAAAACCAAAAATTTTTACAATGGTTTAATGCATATACACACAAATAAGTAATCACTCTACAGGATATCAAATGTCAACAGCCCACATGTCAGACTGTCTACTCATTACTTACACTGCTTAAAGCCCCCCAAATGTATCATCTTTACTGAACAAGAATATTTTAAAGGATTCCACCCTGTGACAAGATACCCTGATGTTCTCAATTCATAAATAAATTCTCTACATGATTCCACTTAAAGCACTCACTTATATGATAGGACATACCTCTTGTGTATTTTTAGGTCTCTCAAATTATCATCAAATTAAAAAATAAATAAATAAAAAGATGATAATGAAAAATTTCCCTTAATTGTGAAGCTGTAACATACCTACATTATTTGTTAAACAATCCCATTCAAAGTAAATATATTTTCTCATAGGAAAACCTAAGAAGTTCTAGATTACTGAATCAAGGTAAACTTGTTTCTACTTAAAAACAAAATCTTCTATAGGACATGCTTATTTTCTATTCCCCCCAAAATGGGATAGTGATTGAAACAAAATGTAGTATAAAATTCACTATAATAGGACTTAACTTTTAACATACCTGGCAGGTATGCAAAAAAAAGACAATATAATATAAAACACTTATTATAATGCAAGTACATTACTTAATTCACCTTGACAACAGCAATTCCAGAAATATCCTTTCAGTGGTTTATCTACTAACACATGAAAAAATAATGCTTGGAAAATATTAAATTTTCCATAATTCAGAAAGCCTAGTTTCTAGTGACATTTTAACAGATACAAAATGACTACCTAAATAATTCCCTCTTCATCTGTCTCCTTTATTGCTGACAGATCTTAATTTGTGTTCAGAGTCGCATCTCCTGTGTGATCCTTTATTTGCAGAGGTGTGCCTTATCTCTTGCTCCAAAGAGCCACATCTTGGTAAGTATGAACCAAAATTGTTAATCCATTTGTTCTACACAAGTAACTAAAATCTAGCCAAAAACCCTGGTGGTATTTCTGAGAAAGTGTTTCCTGATTAAAAAATACATATGCTAGAGAAAATAGACCTTTACCCACAATTGGTTATTACTGTGTGAGAGAGTGACATAAAAAGCTACTGCAGAAATCTTTTATCCATGAAGGGGCAGACAAAAGGATTCCAGAAAAACCAACCTAGACTTCATTATTAACCAAATGTTCAATAAACAACCATAGAAATGGATGGGACCCATACATTTTTTTATTATTTGAGTTTACACATTTAATTATTTTTTAAAGCTGCTTTTAGTTGGGGGCTTTTACTGCAAACTTGAAACATCATATGATATGCATTGATTTATGCCAAGTAGTTTAAATCAAGTCATTTGGTAAGAGTTAATCTTTATCATACACCCACAGGCCAGGCATTAGTTTACATATGTAGTTAATTTAACAATCCAAACTTATGTGTCTGTACTACTTCTATTATACCCACTTACAGATGAGGCTTAGGAAAGATTATATAACTTCCTAAAGAGAACATGGCTATCAAATTTCAAAGCTAGGATATGACTCTGGGTCTATCATGGTTTTTTAAAAATACTGTTAACCCATTTAACCTGAGTACCACTTTCTGTCTCCATAAAGAAAGAAAATTCAATATTAGCAATTTTACAAGATTATTATGAAAAAGTTCAATGAGTATATATATATATATATATATATATACATATATATGTAAATTATCTACTATTTAACTAGTGTTCTGAGGTGAAAATAAACTGGTAATTCTTGGCATTTTAAAATTAGATTTAAACAGACAATCTTCTATACATTTTTGTTACATTCTCAGAGCACTGCAAATCTGATTTTACATCAGCATATTTCACATAAAATATGAATTCAACACTTCATACTGTCATTATATGCTTCTGAAAATCTTCATGCAAACATAGGTTAGAGTTGAATACATTTTTTTCAAAAACAAAAAAGCACAGAATGCTAGAAATGGAAGGGGACTTTTGAAACTAACAAGAAAAAATCTTCACATTCTAAATAAAGAGCTACAGAACCAAGGAAAACTGCCTGTCATTCAGCTGATTCATATTGGAACTTAGAAAAGTCCTCTAATTCCTATCTATAGCTTTTTTGATTGCTTTTTATCCTATTTTTAAAAAAGCTATTTAGAGATAAAAAGAAAGAAAACAATAAAGAAATACAAATAGAAGACCATTTTAACTTTGATAATGTGAAATATACCACTTCCTATATCTACTTTGAGTTTATAAATGTTTTTGTTTTTAACAAAGTCCATAACTAAACCATGTTATTCTATTGGTAATTTATCTGAATGACTTCTCATTTCTTACTACCAAACAGGTGGAGGTGGGTGAGACACTTAGCCCCTTAAAACTCAATTAGTAAGACATTCAATTCACAGAGCATTGCTGCTTGCAATAAGAAGCAAAGAATTCATTCAATTGGCTAAATTTATATATTGAGAAAACACTAACATTGTCTCTATATTCAACAGGAACTTTCAAGTAAGTTTCACAAAGTTCTCTTGATACAGGCCACAATTCCCCTAAAATTTGAAAATGGTCTGATGTGATTCTGATGTGTTTATAAGGGGAGTTTCTAGCTGAATGCACACAATCTTTAGAGTAATCTATATTTAAAAAAAAACTGTGTACAATACTTAGCTGATTCACAATAAACGTGATTTCTAGGTTCAATATATCAAAATGAGAATTCAATGGTATATATTGCTAAAGTCTAATGCTTTCACTTTTCTTGTGTTCTTTCTTTGAGATTCTTACATATTTCTGAAATCTTTATATAATTATTTTCAGGTGAGATATTGTTCAGGACAGCTGGTTCTTTTCTCTTCACAAGTATAACAAAAACAATGGTTCTAAATTAAAAGAGATTTAAAAGATATAATAATCAGTTGTCACACATGGTCCTAGAATTGATTTTAGTTTGGACAAATCAAATGTACTGGATATTTTGGGAAGAAGTAGGAAAATATGAACATGAACTAGATGCTAGAAAATATTAAGGAATTTCTATTAATTGCTTAAAGATGATAGATAATATTGTTTCAACTATAAAGAGACCTGTTCATTTTTCTTAAAGATGCATATTAAAGTTAAGAAAATACTTTTAAAAAATTTTTATATGGTTTTAATTAGTTATACATGACAGAAGAATGCATTTATATACTTTTATATACATAGATGGGATATAATTTCTCATTTTTCTGAGTGTACATGCTGCAGAATCATATTACTTACATACAGTAATAATGTCTGTTTCATTCTACTACCTTTCCTATTCCCACATATTCTTCCCTCTCCTCCCATCATCTCCCTTTACCTAATCTAAGGTAACGCTATTCTTCCCTAGTTCCCCCCTTCCTTATTGTGAATTAGCATCTGCATATTAGAGAAAACATTAGGTGTTTGGTTTTGTGAGATTGGCTTATTTCACTTAGCATGATATTCTCCAATCATTTACTGGCAAATGCCATAATTTCACTCTTCTTTAAAGCTGAGTAATATTCCAATGAGTATATACCACATTTTCTTTATCCATTCATCTATTGAGGGACACCTAGGTTGGTTCCATAGTCTAGCTTGTGAATTGAGCTGCTATAAATACTAATGTGCCGGTAGTATGCTGATTTTAAGTCCTTTGGGTATACAAACCAAGGAGAGGATAAGAGAATACTTTTAAAAAACTAAACAGCATAAGAAGATTTGTCCTATTATTTATTAATCATAAATCAAGATAAAGTGTTATTTTTCCATTATTAAACTTACTTTTCTAATTTTAATACTGCACTTTTGGGTGAGGATAATTTTATTCTGTCTCCCAACCTTTTATATTCAGCCTTATCAATGTCAAAAATTTACCTAAATTTCCTATATATAAAGCAAGTTACTACACACTTTGCTTTAAATCCTCAATGAAACTCTTTTCACGAAGTAAAACCATTTGTACTTAAAATCATATTTTTTTGGTCTAATTACTATTGCCTTAGTTTTGCAGATCTGAGATTTTCTTTATATCCCTTTTAATTTCATCATTTTCTGTACACTATTCCAACCTATTAACTGTCTCAAACTATGTCACAAACATTATAACTGAAGTACAGTAAAATAAAATGAAGAATAACTTGAGCACTCATTTGTAGAAGTACAAAATTCAGTATGTCTGACTTCTTTCCCTTATCTTTCTGATTTCCTTCCCTTATCTCTTTCCTGAAACTTATTTATCTAAACCTCTTAAAAAATCATTAGTAATTTACAATTTTTAGAATTTAAAATTATTTTATTTTCACAAAAATCAAAGATTTATAAATTCAAGCAATTTCCAACATTAAAATGATGTACAATATGTAAAATAAAATAATGAGCACTAAGCTTTCTTCAATAAAGGGTTCAGAAGTTTGCAAAACTCAGTTTCTCTAAAGATGATTTCCATTTCCCTGTTCATTCATTTTAATCTTTATCTCCTTATTCTTGAGTTATTTTTCAGTTTATCACTCAAGTATTTGGAGTACACTATAAGTAAGCCTATAAAGATGACTTGGTGACTTATTTTTCTAGATATTAAAGTTATGAAAGTTTACCTTTATGTATAAATAAAAACTGTCCAGATATATTTAAAATAGTAGGTACACAACCTGTTCTCTGGAGCGTACTAGACACAACAATTTCTTGTACTCTGTAATAAATTTTTGCAAATTTATTTAATCTAAGTGCCTTCTTTTTTCTCCTTCCCTGAAAGTTAGCTGATACTTGTCTTTGAAATTTAAATATTAGGTCTTATTGTTCTTTCTATTTTCATATTTGGGAGAACTTAAGTTTGAATTATTTAGGTTATTCTTTATTCAGATTTATAAATTTTCTTTGTACATTTAATCATAGTATTTTATCTGTATATTCTAGTCACTCATAAATTTTTATCTCTGTAACCTGACCTCAGTGGCTCAGAGTTTAGTACATTATAACTTCTATATATTTAGAGATTAATATTTCATATTGCTCAAATGCTTTGCTATACCCAAAATACATATTTTTCCCTTCCAATTAATATTTCTATTTTGTTTTGGCTTTTATGCATTATGTTATTTTTATCCTGGTCTTTTACATTATATAAGTTGCATTATAATTGCATTCAAGGTGCCATAAATATCGTTTAAAATTTTTTTTTTTTTAGTTGTAGTTGGAAGTTTATTTTTATTTTTATGTGGTGTTGAGGATTGAACCAACCCAGTGCCTCGCACATGCCAGAAAGCACTTTACCGATGAGCCACGACCCCAGCTCCTAAATACTGTTTTTATATGGGATTAACATTTGAAATTATTAACAATTATAAAAGTATACTGAAAGTATAAACATGACTCTGAGGGATCACTCATCATCCATAGAGAAGAAACACTGTCTTGAAATCTCCTTCACTCTAATACTTAAGCTTAAATAACCAATGTCATTCCACTCAGAGAGAAAGTTCTTATTCTCAACTTCAAGTACTTACTTCTTGAAATGAATCAATAAATGAATATAAACTGGTGCATCTTAAATCCCAGAAACAGAGGCTACCAAAAATGGATCAAGGAAGAATTTTTCAGATAGCATACTTCATATTTAGACAAAATTTAACATTATATTTTCATTAAAGCATATATAATCTAAACATAATGCAATTATATAAGTTTGAAAGCCCAAAATAAAGTCAAACTCTAATTCTGGCTGTCTTATAAAAGCCACATATTGACCAATTTGGAAGTCTCCATTTTAAATTCTATACTATAATATACTTACAAGTTGATGTTCTAATAGTTGTATTTTTTCATCTTTTTTCCTTATTTCTTCTTTAAGTTGTTTCATTTCATTTAATAAATCTTCATTCTGCAATGTTAAAAGAATTAAATGAGTCATTTAAAATACCCCTAATGAGAAGCACTAAATCAATGATGAAGACTCAGTAGTGAAAGAACTATTTCTTCATTTAAAGAAAAACTTTTGTATTTCTTTAAATACAAAAATCAAAAACTTCTAAGATTTCACAATGATTCTGACATGTAAACAATGAACAATAACAGAAGCAACAGTTAACATTTATTAAGCACATTTATTAGGTATTAGAAACTAAACACTTTCAGGTATTTCAGCTTTTGATCCTGACCACTCTGAGGAACATACCATTATCCCCTTTTTAAGCCAGCAGTAAAGTAAATCACACATAAAACAGAAACTTCACATTATATTTCAAGGGATGCATTTGAGTTTCCTGCCAAAGAAAAGAGGGGTGTGACAAGTAGAGAAACTAGTATAATTAAAGCTGCAAAAGGAATTTAACGGCTGGTTCAAAAATCGGCAAGAAGATAAACGTGTCGGAAGAAGCCCAACAAGGAAGATTCTTTATCAAGGAACCACTTTATTGAGCAGCACTGCTTGAATCAAAGAGAAAACAACCAAACTTCACTGATAAGGACTACTTAATGCTATTAAATGGAACATACCATCAAGTCAAGCAGCAATCTGGTTATATTTCCAAAATATCAAATATCATTAACCTAGTGTTAGCCCATTTTATGTAAATCCATTCAATCACTCAGAAATATAGATATAAAATAATATAAGCAAAGAACTTAGAATATACACATGGATGATGTATCTTTCCAAAAAGATAATATGTAAGCAAATTCTAATAATACAGCAGTATCCCAAACAATGGAGAATACAAGACAATGGGAACAATGGGAAAAGTTATTACACACAATGAATGATCTTTATTTAAACATAAAAAGAGAATAGGAATTTTTAAAATTCATAAATTAACCAGAAAAAGATGGATTATAGAATATCAAAGATACATTTCTATGGATAAATTTTGACACATTGCTAGGCTCTGTAGCAAATAAAATCATTGAGAGTTAATAAATACACAATAGAGTTCTACTTAGTCAAAAAGAAGAATGAAATTATGTCATTTGCTAGTAAATGGATGGAACTGGAGAACATTATTCTAAATGAAATAAGCCAGACTCAGAAAACCAAAAGTGTGGAATGTTTTCTCTCATATGTGGAAGCTAGGGAGAAAAAAATTAATCAAAAATAGGGATCTGGAGAAAACAGAAGGGAGATCAGTAGAGTAGAAACTGGGGACCAAGGAGGAAGCAGGAAGGGAAGGAAGAAGACAGGAAAAGGGGAAGAACTGGGGAATGAAGTTGACAAAATCATACTAGGCTCATGTATAACTATACCACAATACATTCTAATTTTATATAAGACTATAATGCATCAATTAAATTAATTAAATAACTAGAAGGACCTAATGCAGTAGAGGAAGAGGGAGGAGGGAAGTGAAGTGGGTAGTACTGAGGATTGCAATGGAGAAAACTATGTTATATGCATTTATAATTAAGTCAAAATGAACTCAATATATTATGTATAATTACAATGCACTAAAAAATGTTTCCAAAGGAGTTTTAAATGAATTTTCATCAAATTATCTTTAATATACAGATATAATAAAATACCTTTTTTTTTAATGGCTGGGGATGTAGCTCAAAAGTCAAGTGCCCCTAGGTTCAATCCCCAGCACCAAACAACAAAAATAAACACCCCATCAGCTCTACAAAGAGATGGATGTATCTGTAGTTTTAAGCAATGATGATGGGAAAATATTATAAGTGAGAAATAATCCTTTTCACTTTTGAAAGCACCCCTATTTAATTAAAAAAACTTTAATCACCTAGGTTTTCTTAACAGAGCTACCATTTGTTTATTGGATGGGTAGAGAGCTTTATGAATTCATTATCTTTTAGCTCTGAAAAGATGCTTTTAAAATGCTGATGGGTGTTAAACTTTTTATTTCTACTTTAGCTTAAATTAGTTTTCCATATTTTCTATTAAATAAAAGCATGTTTGTGTGTTTTGAAAAGAGATGATAAATATATTTTATTATATAAAATTTTAAGGCATCTATCTATACGATTAATATTAAAGCTTGGTAAGAACCTATGTAAATTTGACAAAGGATTTGCATCTCAAGGACATCTGAGTCTATTCAAGTATATTAGATCATTTTCAAGTCCCCCAAGACAAATAGCTGGCTCTCATAAACAAATATATAACTGGTAAAATCTTCTATTTGGCTTGTTGAAGAAATGTAAAATAATGAAGGTATTGTTCTAAAGATATCAAATTATCGGGAAAATATTCAATGTGACTAACCAAGATTAGAAAAAAAGCGTATATCAGACTTAGCAAGTAAGGTTTCTGGATGAACATGACTCTGTATAAAAATCATAAAAATACTTGTATTCTTTGATTCAGTTGCATAATTCCTAAAAAAATCATAGCAAAGAAATTATGAGAAAATATACAAGGTAGGATCTGCAAGTTTACAAATGTACAATTGTCTTATAAGGGGACAATGGAAATATTGTGTAGCAACTTGATGGAACATTACATAGCCATCACAAGGGAGTAAAATATGAACATTCTGAAAATTTACTGCAAGTGAGAAAAGGGCACAGAAGAGTAGTAAAGAGTAACATCACATTTCTAGTTTGAGTGACATGATGAATGATTGTGCCATCAAAAGAGAAGTATGTATGAGTTTTATATATGTTACAGGCATCTGTGGATAGTGCAGAAATGTCTAGTGGGCAACTGAACCACCAAATATGAAAAATATTTACTTTATCATTATATACAAAAAATGATAAAATCATGAGAATAAAAAGCTGAAAGAGGACAGAGCTAAATATGTAAATCTAACATTTAAGGAAAAATCCTACAATGGAAGTGGGAAAATGGCAGAGAGGTATGAGAGATTCCAAGGAAATACTATAAAAGCCAAGGGATAAACTTTTCAGAAAAAGACCATGTCAAAAATTAATGGGTATTTTTCCAGGTTTCCACATTAACTGGAAAGGGGTTTAAGTAAAGTTGGAAAAGCTATTTCCTGAATTTAAGATAGTAAAATATACAAATTTATAAGCTGAAAATGAAAAAGAGAAAGTACACTGAAGACATAGGAGCAAGGAGAAGAAGAATCTTATTAGATAATTAAGCAGCACCGGGACATAGAGTTAAGAACACAGAAAAGGTAGATTCTAAAAGTAGTTACACTTTTCTCCTATATCTGGAACAAAATAAGTGAAAATAAGAGAGTTTAGCAAGTTAAAAGGCAGGAAGGAGGGAAGCAGAACATCTGTGTATGATTAGCACAAATCTACCTGAAGAGGTTGAAAGCATGGCTGAGCATCATGCTTGAGCATGATTAATGTCTAGAACAGTTCATCAGAAGAATAGGAAGGAGCTATCCTATCATAAATATAAGAACAGATTGGAGGCACTGCAGGTCTAGTGAAAAATTTAGACCCTGAATTTGTAATAGCATAAATCACCATATTTGTGCATTTGAAGTTGTGCTGCTAAAAGCATCTTTGATGAGACAATAACACAGTTAGGGATTTGCTGTTCAAAGTTCAAGAGAGACTACAGATATGGAGAGAAGAGAGTAAGCTATTGCATGTCAGCTTGGATAAGAGGGAAGAAAAGACCAAGAATTATCTGCTGGGAAGAAAAGGTAATAGGGACAAGAAATAAGCACCATGTAACAATATGTCTTCCATGAAGTATCGGAAAGAAATACAGAAAACAACGATGAAATTAGCTAAGTAAAAAGAGTTAGAATTAAATTTTCTTCAAAAAAAAGTTCCTTTACATGTAAAAAATGCATTCACAAGAAGAAACTTAGAGAAAAAAAGAATAATTAAAAAAAATAAAACCAGTCACAAAACTTAAAAGTATCTGAAAAATTCTAAGGGACTGAGTTACTGGTTCTCACCTGTGTGTTTATGTGAAACTGTTTTAAAAAGAGATGGTCTGTGGCAGACCTGCTAGATGAGGATTATTATTTACAACAACTGGGTGGAAGCCTAAAGATGGTAGACAAGTGAAAAAGCCAAGTTTAGATAAAAAGATGTGACTCCTATGCTATATTCTTGATTTTGGTTGTTTTATATAGAATCTTGTTCCCAATAAATCACTCAGAATTCTGAGAAAATTAAGGTCTTCTGTCCAATTAATGTCAGGTTGAAACACTGGAATTGTTTTGGAAATGACATATACTCCATCAAAGTAGAATTCTTATGTGGTTTGACAAAGCTCTTTTCCCTCTGCACAGAGACATGTTCTACACCAGAGGCCGATCCCTCAGTTAGGTTCTCAAATGTAAGAGATACATGAAGCAGAATCCCAGCTGATCTACAGTCAATAGATCAGTATAGTGTAATATAAGTGAAACATCAACTTTTGTTGTATTAAGCTACTAGTGTTATTGTAGATGATTATCAAACAATGGCTACTACACCCTGAAAACATGATGTAAAAGTAATCAATAATTTTACATATAAATATTATATTAATCACCGATATCTGTGTGTACTTAAGAAATATAGACTTGAGAAACAGATGAAAAATAAAGAGCTTTCAACTAAATATAGATCAAAAGACAATGAGAATTTAAAAACTACTTTCAATCACTCGCTAAAATATATCAGCATTTCATAATTATGTTTTTTTAAAAATATTTACTTTTTCATTATAGGTGGTCACACAATGTCTTTATTTTATATTTATGTGGTGCTGAGGATCCAACCCAGTGCCTCACACATGCTAGGCGAGTGCTATACCACTGAGCCACAATCCCAGCCCCCATAATTATGTTTTTATACATGAAAAAATAAAAGTTAACCTCATCACCAGTATATTTCTTCAGTGCTGCGATTAGATATAAGTACCCATTAACATTTTAACCTCACTGGTAAACATTTTAAAAATTGTTATTCATAATTAAAACCAATGCAAGTGTCTTTTTATTTTTTTAAATGTAGTTGAGTTGTATACAACACCAGGACAAACCTTGACATAATCACAGAAGCATGGAACATAACTCCCTCCAATTCAATCCCTAGCACTTCTTCCCTTCCACCCCACTCCACAGATCCCTCTTCAATCCATCTACAGTTTACTTTTTTGTTTGTTTGTTTAATTCTTGTCCTGCTGATAGACCTGATGCCAGAACCCACCGGCGGCATCCATGCATGCACATATGAAAGTTGGGCATGTTCATTCAATTGTTTTTCCCTACCCCATCTTTCTTCCTTCCCTTATTCCCCTTAGTCTACTACACAGATCTATTATTTTCTATCCCCTACCCTTTATTTTGGATTACCTTCTGCATTTTCAGAGAAAAAATTTGATCATTGACTTTTGAGGACTGGCTTACTTCAGTTAGCATGATAGTCTGCAGTTTCATCCATTTACTGGCAAATGCAATAAAGTCATTCTTCTTTATGGCTGAGTAATAGTCCATCATATATATGTGTGTGTGTGTGTGTGTATATCACATTTTCTTTATCCATTCATCTGTGGAAGGGAACCTAAGTTGGCTCCATAGCTTATTGTGAATTATGCTGCTATAAACACTGATGGGCTGTATCACTGTAGTATGTAATATTTTAAGTCTTTTGGATATACATGGAGGAGTGGAATAGCTAGTCATATGGTAGTTCTATTCCTAGTTTTTTTGATGAATTTCCAGACCAATTTCCAGAGTGGCTGCACTAATTTACAGTCCTACCAACAATGTAGGAGTGTATATTTTCCCCTATATCCTTGTCAACATTTATTGTTGTCTGTATCCTTGCTAATTGCCATTCTGACCAGAGTGAGATGAAATCTCAATATAGTTTTAATTTGTATTTTCCCAATTGCTAGAGATGTTGAATTTTTTTTCATATTTGTATTTCTTCTTTAGAGAAATGTCTATTTAGTTCTTTGGCCCATTTATTGATTGGGTTATTTGTGTTTTTATGATGTTAAGGTTTTAGAGTTCTTTGTATATTCTGGATATTAATTGCCTATGTGAGGAGCAGGCGCAAAGACCTTCTTCCATTCTGTAGGCTCTATATTTATGCTTTTAATGTGTTCTTGCTGTGCAGAAACTTTTTAGTTTGATGCCATTACACTTAATGATTTTTTTATCTTATTTCTTGCACTATAGTAGTCCTATTCAGTTCCTGTGCTGATAAGCTAGAGTATTGGACCTACAATTTCTTCTAGCAGTAGCAGTGTTTCTGGCCTAAGTCCTAGGTCTTTGATCTACTTTGAGTTGATTTTCTAAAAGGTGAGTTTTAAGAGTTAAATTTCACTTTTCTACAAATAGATTTCCAGTTTGCCTAGCACCATGTTAAAAAGGCTATCTTTAGAGCTGGGGCAGTGACTCAGTGGTAGAGCCCTTGCCTAGCATGTGTGAGGCACTGGGAGCAATTCTCAGCACCACATACAAATAAGTAAAATAAAGATATATATATATATATATATTAAAACAGTATTTTATATATAAAAAAGGCCAGGGGCTGGGGATGTGGCTCAAGTGGTAGTGCGCTGGCTTGTTATGCATGCGGCCAGGTTTGATCCTCAGCATCACATACAAACAAAGATGTTGTGTCCACCAAAAACTAAACAATAAATATTAAAACATTCTCTCTCTCT